GACCGTCCATGTATCGAATAAATATGAAACTGGGATATACACACATGACGGTCCATATATCATATATGCATAAGCCAAACTCAAATAATTCACTTGCATAAGCATGCATAGTAGTATATGATTCTTTAACAAGACATTTATATATTAGAGTAGAGATAAATGAATGATGTGGTGCTCAACCAACTGTAACAGGTTAACAACTAATACAATAAATGACGAAAAATTCAAATAATTAACTTATAAATAAGTCGACCAATAATAGTATTTTTACAGATAAATAAAAGAGATTCAAGAATTTTTTTTTTTTTTGATTATCCAACTAGTCAACATTCAAAACCGACGTGTAAAGTATTGGAGCTCCTCTCATATTGTCTAATCTGGTAGGCTCATGACTATTATGGACCTCTTAATCAAAATTATTATCATTTTCATCATTTTTATTTCCTTTTTAAATTTTTTAAAACTAACTAAAATTAGTGGTTTTCAAAAATTCAAATATTTTCCAGTAATCCAATAACAAAACGATGAATTTAAAACTTACTTGATCTTAACACCGTTGTTGAAATTGAACCTCGTGACGTTTCTTTGGACCCAATCTTTAGCTCTTTGATAACTTCCCATAGCTTGAAGCAGATCATTAGGTATCGCCACCATAACTTCGACGCCGGAGCCGGCGAGAGCTCCCATCGTCTTTGTGTCTGCATCGAACAATTTCACTTTCTCTATGTTGTTGTCTCTAAGCATCTCAACAACAGTCTTCGGTGGTAACTGATGAGTCGCCATTGTTCCCCAGTTTACTCCGAGAGCTGATACACCACCGGATAAAGCGGGGATGATAACTATTCCGATGAAGAATACGGCGGAGTTAGTTATGTTACTCTGTTTTCTCCGATGGTTCATTTTTAGGTTTTCCTCTGTTTTGAAGATCGATTTTCCGGGAAAGTTTTGTTCTTTGAAGGGTTTTGATGTTGAAATGGAAAGGAAGAGATTCTTGATTGATTTTTCCGGGAAAGTTTTGAGCTTTGAAGGAAGAATCTGGTGGGTTTTATTGGTTTTTCGTATGAGAAATAAAGAATATTTTTACACCAAAAAAAGAAATAAAGAATA